GTGTCCGAAACGAGAAGAAAGCAGGAATTTCTGTTTTCCTCCCCTCAGATCGGCAACTCTCTGTATGACGAGGAGGGCGCCGGCATCGTCAAGGACCTGATGGCCAAGGCCGAGAAGAACGGCGTCAAGATCACGCTGCCCGTCGACTTTGTCACCGCCGACAAGTTCGACGAGAAGGCCGCCACGGGTGTCGCCACCGTCGCCGCCGGCATCCCCGCTGGCTGGATGGTGAGTGGCGCCTTTTCTTACACCAGTGTAGGCTGCTTGAATTCGAATTGCAGACCCTCTCACCCCCAATAAATGTGATTTCACATTTCTCAATACAGTCAATTAACCGTCTCCTCCGCAGGGCTTGGACTGCGGCCCCGAGAGCTCCAAGGCGTACGGCGAGGCCGTCGGCCGAGCCAAGCAGATCGTGTGGAACGGCCCGGTGGGCGTGTTCGAATGGGACAACTTTGCCAAGGGCACCAAGAACCTGATGGACAAGGTGGTGGAGGTCACCAAGTCGGGTTGCGTCACAATCATCGGTAAGAAGCGGCACCTATTTCAGGGCACGTCGCCACTTGCACCGAAACCGCCCCCAGTTGTCAATTGGCACATTTTTTTTTTTGAAACAACACGATTGTCTCTCTGATGTCCAGGTGGGGGCGACACTGCCACCTGCTGTGCCAAGTGGAACACTGAGGACAAGGTCAGCCACGTGAGCACAGGAGGCGGAGCCAGCCTGGAACTGCTGGAAGGTGAGTGAAGGACATAAACCATCATGTAAATCAGATCCGAGTATTTATTCATTTATGTATGTATGTGTTTGTTTGTTTGTTTGTTTGCCCTCCCAATGCAATTGATCAATTCTCGTGCGGGTATGTTTTTCCCCAGGCAAAGTGCTTCCCGGAGTGGACGCCCTGAGCAACGTCTAAACTTCCTTCCCATCGACCCGCTGACGTGTGTGAGCGCACGCGTGCGTGTTTGTGAGACAGAGAGAGCATGTGAATGTGTGTATGCTGAGAGGTGAGTAGCAACTAAAACCAGACTGGTGTTAACTTGTGCAAAAAAGAAAAAAAAGAGGAAAAAAACAAACCAAAAAAAAAAAAGACGCACACAGCCAGCGGGCTTTATCGCACATCAAAACTGTGACGAGTCGAACTTGTGCCTTATTGGGACACGACTCGGCAACTACTAGAGTAGATGGATTATTAAGGTGGAGGGTATTTTTATTTTTTTTTTTGCTGTGATGAAAACTTGACATCACTCCAGACTTCAGAAAGTGCGTGTTACTCTCCTCCAGTCATTCCCTGCTAACTTGTGTGTATTCACGGCATCACTACTGATACACAAGGAACGGTTCATGTGGCGTTTGTGTACCTTCTGACCTCGGGTCGGTTCTGGTCGCCAGTTCAAGTTAATAAATGTCCCTAAAACCATTGCGCTACTCTTGTGTTCCTTTGCAGCTTGCGCAATGGCATAGTTTTCTTTTTTTTCTGGGGGAAGGGGGGGGGGACTATCCTGTTATTGGCAAATTAAAATTCTGATAAACTATTCCACACCCAATTAAAAAAAAAAAAGACGAATGAAATTTACATGGGAGAAAAATCTGTTTTTTTTGGTGTGGGGTTAATATTATCTTAGTCTTCTGTGGTAAAGAGTTAATGTGAAGGGGGGGGGAAATCAGTAAATCATTTTTGTGCAGATTTTTAAAAAGGTTCATATCAGATGATTGACACCAGTCAGGCCCTGCTCATAACGCAAAACCTGCACATCGCTAATCAACATTGCCCAATGAATTGAATTCAAATGCTCTGATCTCATTCAGTGCCATGGACATTTTTTTTCATTTTTTTTAAGAATCCAGGCATTCAATACCAGGTACGTCTTTATGTATTTAAAACTAAATAATAAAACCCCGTGGTAGTTTTGAAAATGGCTGGCACCGAATGACTTAATTTGTTTCAGCCTGCCCGAAAAAAAGAAACAAACGTTCATAATATTTTTATTTGGTGTGCTAGAATACTGCAACTTATCAAAAAAAAAAAAAAAAAAACATACAGTCATGACAATGAATTAAATAGAATGTAAAGACTCAGTTGATGAACAAAGCTGCATGATTTGTCGTCAATAAATAATTTTCAGACCAACAAAGTGAAATTTGATCCTTTGCGGTGGCACGGGTGATGACCTCTCACGACAGACACCTGGTGGCAACCTCGACTCGAGAGAAAAGGGAGCCTTGTTCGTTCACGTACAACAAATCTACTCCAAAAGAAACGGGGCACTTGAAAATCAATGCACGCCCGCGCCACATCAGCCATTCTCTGCTTACCGTTCTCCGGCCGGTGGGCCTTTTGCGCCAGGAACTCCGAATTTTCATAGTCGTCGGCGTCTGTGTGGTGAGGCGACACGCCGCGTTTGTTAAGCGCGAGACCTGGCTTGCCTCAAAACGAAAGCGACGTCTCCTACCGTCGTCTGTCGGCGCCGCGTCAGCCAAGTTTGCGTAGTGAGCCTCGGTGGGATCGGCCGGTGTCAGCCAAGTTTGCGTAGTGACCCTCGGTGGGATCGGCATCTGAAGACGAGATCGTCTTAGCCGACGCCGGCACGCACAAGGGGATCATCAAATTGATTTCTGTCGTTTTTGATCACCCACCTCTGATCCTCGAAGCCATCTGCTCGTTTTCATACACTGTGGTGGGGAGCGGATCACTGCAAAGACAAAACATTTGGACCCATGAAAGTATCACTCCTTTTTTAAATGTATACAGATGCTTATGTTCACATTTAATTTTTTTTTTCATGAACAGATGGCCCTATTTGAGGAGGAATGGTCAATTATGTTGATGAGAAATCAATACTTACAGATAAATATGTTCCCAAATCCTGGGTGGTGACGCCGCTATCGCGTATAGAGCTGCGAGCGTAAAGATGTATCATTTGATACATTGGTGCCCGTGGACATCTTGCAAAAGCGTAGCTCTCGTACATTGAATAGTCAGAAATGGTACAAAACTGACCTGGACATGCGCCCTCACTAGAAAATACAAACGACAACTGTTAAGGTAGGGCTCGCAGTTTGACATTTTGCTTGCGATTGAATGGAGAGAGAAAAAAAAAAGGCATACTTTGAGGAAGGGGTCATTTGATTGGCTTTCATGACTGAGGAATAAAACAACAAAAAATGTTAGAATATGCCCAAAATAAATGAAATGTGTCAATTGATACAACAACTGTTATGCATCTTCTACATGCTAGCTGCAGGAGGATTTACCCGTTTTGGATCGCGTTACAGCAAATCTGCTTCCCTCACGCCGGCTGTCAAAAATGTCACCCCCCCCCCAAAAAAAATGTCATAATCCAAATGCGACATATGATTTTAGAATGATTGTCACAAAAGCTGATACTCACAATGTGTGCGGGTTGTATATTTGAGCTTCTTCATGGATGGTTTCTGTGGAAAAATAAATCCATTAAAACTGCCCAAAAAAAAAAAGACAAACTTTTTTTTTTTTTAAAGGAAAATGTGCCCAACTCTAATTCATTTCAAGCCAGTAGCCCATCAGAAGAAAAAGAGAAATACAATTTGAAATTAAATATGAAAATGACAATTAGTATTTTGAAATTAATTAAGAAGGATGCACAATCATCAGCAGTTCAAATTTCAAGTAAAAGCAGCCTAACAATCTCAATGTTGTCCCGTTTCAAAAATGGATTTGAGCGCAGTTGATTTTTAGTTCTCGTTCTCGTATTTCGCCGAGACCGATCTGGAAAACCGGGGGGCCCGGCAATGATCCTTGTGGCACGACACTGATCGTAAATGCTGTTCAAAGATGTGGAATTGTCATTCGTTGAAGACTATATTGGTCAAACCGGTTTGACGCACTGATTATGGAATTGAAATGAATGTACTTGCAATCCCGATTCCACCAAAACAAAATCCAGTTCGGGGGAACTTACTCGGCTTCCTCTTGCATCTCAGACACAGAAGGCCCAGCAAACTGAGCGAGGCCAGCGACGCAGTCGTCGCAATCGCACACTGCACGATGGAATTTCCCAGCATATCTGAAAGCAGCACTTATTCAAACTTAGAACACATCAAAAACGGCATCTGCAGTTGGGTTGTCTCTGTTGGGTTTTTTTTTTTTTT